TTTATAAATAATATAGAATTTCGTAGCGATGATTATATTCTATTATTTTACTGGAATCTGTAACAAGCAATTTAAGTCTAAACAATACTACTTATTTATATTTAATCTATGCACAAAATATATTCAATAGTTAAATTACTACGATATTTTGTTAATCTTGTGGCCTGGAGAGCTCCCAGACATAAACACGAATGTGAGCTTAGTCCGCTCGTGGCTTAGCAGATATGACTAGGTCATACTGCATACCTATAAGTTATTGTTTTTTTTTTTTTTATACATATATAAGTAGTGTTATCATTTTCAATATTAACAGTGTAACCAAGTGTCTAACAAAACAAATCATAGAATATAGCATTTTCGGAAACAATTGTTTTATTAATATGAATAAATTTCTCATTTCTCTCAAATCACATCTTTCAAAAATGCAATTTTATAAAATTATCGAAGATATTGTTGCTTTTCATACTATCACGGACTATATAATCAGGTAGGATCGTTGAGATTAATCAATTAATTATTCCACGTGACCCCAAATTGGCTCCCATTTCATTTTTCTTCTTTAACGTGCACTTCTACGTATAAATATATACAATATTTATTCAATGCTACAACAAAATATGTAATTTACTTGGCACATTATATTATATATTATACATAATTTTGCAAAAATAAATACACGTGCGTCGATATCCAACAATTAACAATTAACATATAAATAAACAAACGTTCGTCGTAAACACAGCTGTTCTTTTAAAATAATTAATTTAACGTTTTTCTATTATTATTGATGCGCAGTGTTTATTATTATCTCGTTTTTTTATAATCTCGATGAGCTTCAACGACCTTGATGTCGAAGCCATTATTCTCCGAAAATTAAATAAACTATACTAAAAATCAATTAAATTAGTGACACAATAATATTGGGTATCACTCTATTACTTAAAATTCAACTTTATTAGGATTCTTAAACGTATTGCTGTGATATTTAAAATTCAACTTAAAAATATTGTTGGGATATCTTGTCTATGTATTCTGCATGATGTTTAACACAACATTTTAAACAAGAACCTCAGAAAATAATTAAGGTCAGTTTATTAGTTCATTAGTACTGCAAGTACTGTATAAGATATACCTAAGATAAATACTTTTACATAATTTTTAAGCTGATAGCAATAACCTTTTAAACATAACGAATTGATATTACATTTTTCCTGACTATTAATCATAATGTATAACAATTTGACAAAGTTTACCAATAATATTTTTCAAATTAAATTTTAAATATCGCCAATACGTTCAAAATACCCCTCAAAAAGTTGAATCACGAAAGTTCTCCATTATTGTATGATGTCCTATTAAGGTATATTTATTAACATGATATTTTACCGCCTACGGTTCAGCAATTATTCGTGGCCACTTTTGGATAATCGATATGACTAGACTATATTTTTTATTTTATACTCACTATAGCCGCTTTCTAAAGTGCATTTTACAAAATAAAGGCGTTATTAAAAAACCTGTAGTAAACTTGATATTTTCGGGATCTAAGATAAGATTGCATTGTTGTAAATGCTAAAGATTGCGGTCTTGGATTTCAATTTAGGAAAGTCATTTAGTTGAGACGGACGCAGTGTATTTACGTGCGATATATAATTTTACTATATATTGAGGTCGACCTCAAATAGTTAGGATGAAAGTAAAGAAGAAGATATAGTTTTTCTATAACGGCGAGGATTTAAAGATATAAACGAAAATGTTAAATTGCAATTCCGGTTTCTTCAGATAGGCACCAAAAAATAATATATCCTTACAGTAATACTAAGTATAACCAGTTATACTTGTTCGGCTTAAAAACAATGTATTTATTTAAAATTACTATTTTTTCAGTAGAAAATCAAATATATATTTTTATTGAATTTTTAAGGGATTTTGTATTCATTTCTTATTATACAAATCACGTGGAAATTTTAAATATCGAACTTTTGCACTTATAAGTTAACTGTAAGAATAACCATCGTATAGTTATAATTGTCACAACCATTTTTTGTAAGATTTAATCGAAATCAACAGAAATCATTAAAATTAATCGGGAGCTTTTTTCTGTAACTATGTTACGTGTGCAATTATTTAGATGAAAAAAGTAATTAAAATTATTGTAGATACATACTTTATCATATTTATCTACATTATTTTTTCTTTTAGTATAAAAATGATATTTTGTTTTAATGTATTAAAATTTAATTTTACAAAAGTTGATTTTGTTGCTATGTATTGTAGGTGAAGATAAATTGAGATGGTTTTTGGATTTTTGTAGAGTTGAAATGTCACAATTTTTTTTAAAAAAATTGATCTTTTTAACATATATAATAAAATTACAACATTTCATTTTACTTTCAATTCGCCAAAAAACTTCAACTTATAAAAAATCTCATGCTAAATTTTAGAACAATTTTGTCGGATGAAAACAATTTTCTTCACATAAAACTAGATAAAAACTAAAAAAAAAAAAAAAAACTTTTTAAAATTAGTTACAAATAATAGATAATAAAATTAACTAATACAATTTCAGAATAATGAAATTTGTACCATGTCTAGAGAGGAAACTTATATATATATAAGTACGTATAAGCTATTCATTTTAAACCTCTACAGTTATACAGTTATTTTTTTTTTGAATTACGACAAAAAAAAAAAAAAAAAAAAAAAAAATTGAATACTTATAACAAAAATAGTTTTTGCATAAATATTTTCGTTTTCTAACGTTTATTTCTGGTTTTTCAAATTAAAAAAAAAAACTACAAACAAAATAAAAAAAAACTGTCTCAATATGTATCAACAAGATAATTTTCTACAACAACTCACCTCTGAAGTTGTTGATCGGAGTAAAATTTCCGAAGGAAAAGTTGTTTACTGACACACACATACACACATCATTGTAAAATGATAATATACATTTATTGCTACGCTTTTAGAATCTAAAAAAAATAACTGTAATATATATATTACTGTACGGTAGTATAGTTAATTGAGCTTATCTCTGATTTTTAAAAATTTTATTTTTAATACATTTTATCATATTTTTTTTCTTAAAAAAATAATAATACAGATTACAAAGGTAAACATACAAGTATTACATAATCTCCAGGACGGGGTGACCTCAGTTTTTGTACCTTTATCTCTAGTGTTTCTATTATTATCTTATTATGAAATCGCAAGATATGTCGTTTTATTCTTGTTTTATATCCGCAATAGTTTATAATGTCAACCATCACAAACATAAATATTGAAAAGAATCAGGAAATAATGTATTAGTTTAAAAGTACGCTATTATACGTATATATACGAATGGTCGTTAACAATTTGATAAATCTCATTTGAATACGTCTAAAGTCTTTAGTTTAAATGCTGAACACAATTGAAAAAGAATCAGGACGTTTGAAAAAAATAAGAATAGGTGTGCGTAGAATGACTGAAATTCAATTATAATAAAAGTCATGGAGTACATAATATTATTTTCCACTACCCTCCACAATACACTGTTTAAAATATATATATTAAAATAATGTTTCCATTTTACAAAAACAGCTATGTTTAAACCAGTGTTGTATAAAGATACATTTTAAAATATACAGATAAATATAAGAGATGATTGTTAGAATAATTATTATTTAGAGATGAAGATAACAGAAAAATAACAATTTAACAATTTATACAAATTTAAATAATTAGGAGCTTTTTATGTAGATTAACAAAAAATAGATAGTTGTGTTCATTATATTTCATAAAATTAAATTTTAAAAGTATTGAAAATGAATAAAATTTTAAAGACAACCACATTTTATAACGGTTGTGTGTTGTAAACAATTAATTTATTAAATCATAATGATAAAAATTAAATATCTTAATTATTATTATTGATAAATAAAAATGATAAATTATTACGATTTAAAAAAATGTATTTATGTTCAATTATTTATCTCAGATAACTTATTTCTCATTTACCTAGAGAAAATAAAAGATAAAAAAATAATCAATTTAGAAAATAACTACTTAAAACATACGTATTAAAGACTAATAGTGATCATATTGGTCGGTATCCTATTCTACAATCGTTTTCAAAGCACGCGATTTAATTTAAATTTTTTATATTATCCTACAATTTTCGAAAGAAAAAAAGTCATTACTGGAGGCTCTCTCAAACATAATTTCATATAGTTTTCTTCGATTTCATAATCGGTGTTATTTTTATAAATTCACTTGCAAAAGATTCATTTGCAATCAATGTAATAGTATTTCAAATTTAAAAGTGAAATTAAAATTTAAATTATTATAAAAACCATGTGGGTAGCATTGTATCATATTATAACCATAGCCTATAATATAATATGATATAATGTATTATATTATAATTCTTATAACATAATAATATCTTATGTGACACGATGCTAATCGATAGAGCAATGAATTGAACGGTTGATTCCATTTAAGGAGATGTTAGTTTACGCCATTTTCAATAACATAACCTTTCCGATCGCATGAAATTTACAACTTTAGACAAGAAATACGTATTGAAAACCTTTGCGAATTTACGGCAGTTGTTTTTTTTTCATATAAAGTCCTAAAATTATACTTAGCTCTAATAAGACCATTTTTCAAATACCTACCATGATTTATAGTTGCTCTAAATATATAAATATATACATAAAAATAAAATACATTATTATTAAAAATCGGCGCATGCATTAACCAAGATTATTTACTAACTATTCGTTTGATGTATATTAGCAACAGCACATTATAAACGTGATAAAAATATAAGTGATGCCATGTCGTATACTACCCATATTTTAGATTCCTAGCCGTGGTAAAATTTTCAAAATCATCGGCTGACTTTTTTTTTTTTACTAAGCGTTTCGAAATCAAATTTAAACGAAAATCGCAAAAAGAATTACGGCACTTCAAATCATGTGTTACCGAACTGCGCTCGAAATCGTCTTTCGTCAGCAATGGTTTATCGTTGCCTACAGATATATATAAAATAACCTTATGTATCCTATATTTCCAACTTCTCACATGCAACAGTGGCCACACCTGTTTTAAGTATCAGCTTTTTTTTTTTTTTGAACAACCCTGGGTAGGTTTTTTAAGTGTGAAGTATATTATTTCCATTGGCTTGGGGAAATAACATGTCCCATGACATCCGAGATTCCCCTGAGGCTCTAGGCTCTGAAAATATCCTATGTTATTAGTTCCGGAATGCCCATGCCAAAAATATACATCGCGATTAAAGCCACTTATACGAATTAGTGTGGTTAATAAATAAGTATAATTATTCAATACATTAGGTCAGTTTTATACAATAATTGTAATTGTTTTGGACATGATGTAAAAAAGGAAAAAGATGACAATATTCAATTAAGTATAATAAAAGTATAATATTTTTTGATTTAACTATTTATTAAAATTACCAAAACATTTGTTAATTAACGAAATTACGTTTGGCAGGCTTGTGGAAAAAATATATAGTCTCTTTAATAACACCAACACAGTTTTGAATGAGCTGTAATTTTGAAGATTTTGAGATACAAAAATTTAAGACATGACTAGACTTAGAAGGACTGTGATCAGCAATTTTTGCAAATTGTATTATTTTTTGAACTGTTGCGTGAGTTGCAAAAAGTCTTCTCAGAAAACCGTAACTAAGCATCTGTCCGTTCCAATATCTACACAATTTTCTAAATTGAAATTGAAATCTTTTAATAGTTGTACAACTGCATTTTACACCTGCAATGGTGGCATTTCCTAAAATGTTGCCAGTAATTTTAGACCTTTGAATTTCGCTGATAATATGATCATTACGTTTCTTATTATAAGTAAACAATTGATCTTTATTTTTTTAAATATGTAATTATGAAAATTAATAAACCCCAAACATTTTTCATGTACTCGATTTTAGATTCTGAGCGAAGTGATGAATTGTTTTTACATTTATGTTTATATTTTTTTTCTGTGAACAACTAATCTACTAGAAATGCTCAAATTTTAAATCATAGCATTTTTCCTGAAAGGAAATCTGACTGAGGTGGTACTTTGTGGAGACCACTTTTCTCCAGTTTTTATAATAAATAGGAAAATGTATAAAACGGTAAAATAGGTGCAATTTTAAACAAATAATAAAATAATTAAGTAAAAACAAAATTATTAAACTGTTAACACTCGTAAATACCATATACAATAAACATATCATAAGTAACATGTAATTTTTATTTGGTAGGTACTTTGTAGTTAAATTGTTAGACTTAACAGAAATGCTTGAAAATTTGATATGAGTTTCATTATAAGTCGTACTTAGTGGTCAACATTATTTTGACTAGTTTTTTTTTTATAAGAGTTTTAAAATCAAATTTTTACGAAAATTATAAAAATGACATCATTTTAGTACATGTATAATTGTTGTTTGCTCAGATTTATTTTACGTTAACAATAGTTTTTCATCAAGTACAGATATAAATTAAATAGTTTTATGTTTTCTATTTAACTTCCCATTTACAATATTGCCACATCGATCTTCAATATCATTTCTTTTTTAGGGCTATAATGAGGTTTTTAAAAAGATTTTGTAAGCGTTATTTTGTTGGTTTTAAGTTCTATAAGGCCTAAATTCTCATTATAGTATTACCTACGTCTTAACTAGCTGCACTTACAGTTCAATTTGCATGTTTATGGCATAAATAATGTACTTATTGTAGTTTTATTCTCGTTAAGCGGATATTCGAACCGAATTGGTTTATGATTTTTTTTTCACTTTATTGGGCATTAACAAAAAAAATTATTCTATTTTATTTGATAAACACTCTATAGCAACGAAGAATTATTAAATATGTTTTATAATTAATTTAAATTACATTTAACTTATATTGTTTACGGAAGTTAATATTTAGAAAGTATAGTGAACGAAACGCGCTCGTATTTTTTAAACAAAATTTATATTATAATTAATATCAATGGAAATGTTTGGATACTTCGAGAAGACAATTTCGGATTGTTATGATTCCAAAGGAATTAAGCGCAAATCCGACAATGACGGCAGTGGCGTTCTCACGGAGCTGTCTATTGACTTGGTTGTGGGTGTAATGCGGACTTTACTGTACGCCGTTATCAATTCGATACTTTTAATACCGAAGCTATTTTATTTGTACGTAATGTTTTGGAATTATGCGACAAACCGTTTCTGGAAAATCATTAAAATGGACTACTCGTTCAAGGCACTCTTTCAGATGTTCGTGTTATCGGGACAATTCGTCATGTTTCATCTACTACTGGAGCGGTGCGCTTACTTTTTGTATTTGCCAATATCAAAATTTATTGTGTTATCGCTTCGAGTCCTTTTGATTTTGTTCGGTAAAGGAACTCGTTAGATATAGGTAATAATGTATAATCAAAAATATGTTTACAACTATACTGCGTTTATTTTTTATAAATACCGTATGTGGAATTTATTCTCATACCATTTAAAATCGTTTAATGCAATATAACCAGCCAAGTATCGTTAAACTCTATCATTTCAATCTTAATAGGAAGTTCTTATATTGGCTTTATATTGGGATATACATATTTATACAGATTTTCCAATACACGTTTGACATTTTATGTTTAGTATGGGTTCAAACCTATGCGTTCAAATAAATAAGCAGTTTCTTACATTTTCGACATTAACCAGCTTGTATCACTTGTTTCAAGAATATCCGGGAGAGGATATTAGGACCTTTTGAGGGTAACTCACAAAAAAACCTTAAAAAAACTATTACTGCTGATGATTTTGTCACTATTTGGAGATAATAAGTTCATAAGGTAGCCAATAAATAACAAATTAATTTATATCTATATACTCCACAATAAATCGTTGCTAACGGAAAACGATTCTGAGCGAAGAATAGTTAAACATATTTTGAAATGCCACGGTTTTTTATAACTTTCATACAACTTTGAACTTTAAAACAGTTAGTTAAAAATATGATTACATTTCACTCTACTTATCTTTTTTTTTACTACTAATTATAACTCATGGTGAACTTATGGTGAATCTTGATGTGTAGAGTAATAGAATGGTAAAATGTAAAATGGTTAAGAATAAAATAATTTTGGAATGAAATATACGTGGTATTTGATTCGTATATACGAAATTTCTTACCCCACGCTTGTAAACATTATATTAAAATATGATATAATAATATGTCACATCAGTAATTACGCGTTAAAAAAATCGTTGTACCGTGTTATACTTTTTGAACCAATAGAGCCTTAGAAAAATAATAAATACGCTATTTTAGATATTGTTGAGTGGGTACCTATACCTAAATTGATTTACAATCGAGTATTTAAGTAAACGCAAGTGTTTTACACTAAAAGATAGGTAGGTGCAACAATAATTATTATAAAACGCAAATGATCTGCAATTGAAGAACCGTGTAGTAAAACGAAATATTTTAATATTATTTTTTTGTATTATGTATGTTATGTGGACTGAAAATGTATAGCAATAATCATGTACAACTAATATAATAATAATAATATAGGTACCTAACAATAAAAAATATGAAGAATTTTTACAAAAAAAAAAAAAAAAAAAACAAATGTACAATATAGTTTTAATTTTCTTTAAAAACAATCTAACTATTCCACGCCAAATTGGCTAGAATTTCCTCAATTGATTACTTATTTAAAGTGAATTAGTTTTAAAATGTAGCAGTTATGGTCAGTGGCGTATATTAGGAACTATGGACTCCCCCTATCCGTTGTCTAAATGTTTTAATATTTTTATCATGTTTCATGGTTGTGGTACTTTCAATGGTTTATGTAGATTTTTATTCATATTTTATTTATTGAGTCAGTAATTTATTTTGTGAAATGTGATTAAGAAAATTAATGTAAACAGACCAACGTGTAATTTTGGGTTTTTTTTTTTTTTGGATTCTCCCATCGAGAAAACCTGGTTACGCAAAACGCAACTGGAGATGGCGAGTATTAATATAACTATATTTATAACTAAAAAGTTGGTCTGTTTTTAATTTTTAACAGGAAAATTTAATTGTTTTCATCGTCTACTAGTATATATTTAACCAGAGTTTAATTTTCATAAAATATCCGAATAATAACTGAGTGTTTAATTTTCGAAATTAGATTAGGTAAATACAACTCAGTTAACTCAAATTTATGTATATACGGTGTTATTTATAACATTAATACTTATGGTGTGCTGAAAACTGCAAAAGAGCTTAAGGGTGAGTATTATTTTATCTACACATTTAAAATACATTAAATATTATAATGTCCACATTCTATTACTAATAATTTGCTCATAAAATATAAAGGTTCAATTTAAAATCAATTTAAAAAAAAAAAAATAATAATAATACGATTATTTAAAAATTTCACGCAAACGACTAACTGGTAAATTTTAAGAGACAAGTTTCATAAAACAGCTACAGTTTTATCCAGGACTAAATATACGAGTATCTATTTCGCATCAATAATCTATTTAAGAATTTATAATTTATATAGAGAACTGCTCTTGTTTAAACCAAAATCGTGTTTACAGACAAAACAATACCATAACAATAATCACACACCAATCTAAAGTTATTTACTTTTCTCGGCTGTATACTTTCGTGGAATTTAAATCAAGGACATATAATATAACGTAAGTCCTGGACGTCCATACAATTCGTAAGAACTACCCATAATATATAGATTCAATTAAGAGACGAACAATTTACTACTTACTATAATGATAAAAACAAAAAATACCGGAGATATTACATTAGGCAACGATGTTTTTATTTTTTCGATATTACAAAAAAACCAGGTGGTTATGTACCTACTCATTATTGTTTTAAAAGTTGATAATTTTGTGTTTTTTTAAACTCAAAGTATAGTCACGTCAAAAAAATATAAATAATGTCTCATAGTACGTTGACCAGTTTTCTTTTTTACGTAGTAAAAATTTTGTATGTTTTGAACATTATAATCCTAATGGTTCTCGCCCGTATTACATTATTTTTACGATAACACAATAAATACTAATTATTATTTTAATATCATATGGGACAACAATAAATATTGTAAATGAATTTATATAATTATTTATCAAGCGATAAGTTTGAATATTATCTAGTTAATAAATTTTCATTTTAGATTTTGAGCAAAGTGAATAATGTATTTATTTCAATATGGTGTGTTTTTTTTATGAGTTATGAGTAACAACTTTTCTACAAGAAACCTTGCTCCAATCAAAAACTTTATAAAATTTTTTTCGTATCTAGCCTTTTTTTTTTATATTTTTATGAAGTAGCTGATAACGGACAAAGTATAATAAATTTAATCAGTCATTATTTTTCCTCTACAAGTAAAACAGTGAAGAATCCTACATTAATAACTGTAGCTATAAAATCATTTCAATCTATAAATATTTGTCTCATAAACTTTCTTGAGGTATTTAACCAACTTGATATTTTAAACTGTAAATATCATACTGGACCTAATGAAATGTCTCCGTTATTCTTATATACTTGTAGATTTGTGCTCTTTTCTCTCGTTGCTTTTATTTATAATCCTTTCCTTAACATGAATTGCTACCTAGATATTTGGGAAAAAAACATTCATTAATCCATTTTTTAAAAAGGGTGTTGATCTTTAATATTGAATTATCGTCCTATATTTATAATTTCTACCGTACATAAAATCTTCACTAAAATTGTTCATTCAAACATTTCTTATCTTCTGAATAATATCAAAGTACCCCAGAAACATGGATTTTGTAAAAAGGCTTTTGAAAGTTGGTAGGACTGACCACTTACATTTAATGTTTAAAACAAAAAAAAAAAAATAAATTTGCTAATCCTCTCCTATCCTGATTAAACTCTTTTTTTAATTAATTGATCACAGTCGGTAAAATAAACTAATTAGGTATATCTAGAATCCTATTCCTGTTATTTCATGTATTCCGTAAGGCAATTTGTTTAAAAATTATATTATTTCAGCTTATAATTACTCAAGTGTTTTATTTTTTGCTCATTATGCACATTATTTAAAATTAATCAATTTTTTTGGAGACACAATACTACTATAGAATGATTTGAACAATATAAATAATTTGTGTAATCCTAATGGAATGACTCTTAACGTGAATAAATGCCACTCTCTTTTTCCAAAATTTAACCTTTAATTATAGTCACTCCAATCATTTATCAAATCGAATATCTGAAATTAATAACCTTAGTTTAATTTTTGATTCAAAATTATTCTTTAACTTACATGTTTTTGAAAATTAAAAAAAAAAAATTGCGCGTGGTATGACTAATAGAAATAATTTTCACATTTTATACACTTTCCATTTTTATTTTTCCTCTTCTTTATTCTCTAATTATATTAATAATTATTGTATCTATTATATTACTTACTATTATACGAATATACTATTATAATAATTAATTTAATGTAAATTGAATGTTATGTTTTTATAACTTATATTGTTTATATTGTATTATATTTAAGTACTATAAATTGAGATCACGCCTGTTATTATTCAAAGGAAAAATAAAATAGCTGGTGCATTGAAAGGGTCATTTTTTGATTTGCCCTGTATTTTTCTTAACAAATGAGAAAAATCGGCAATTGTATGTATAATTTTTGTTGATTTCTTGATCACCTTGGCAACAAGGGAAGAGGAAAAATACGATTAACAATTGTCTGTTTAAAATCAATTTTATCTGGTTTATCGTTAGCTATGAAATAGTATCAGCTAGTTTCTTTTTTTTTTTTAAATGTCGTTAAAATTGCCTTGCATTGCTTGTATATAGTTTAGGAGTTTCTATTCACAAAATATTGTATTCAATGTTCTTTCCAACTCGATACGTCTATATATAATATATATTGTATATTATAATAATAATAAACACTGTATAATATTTACTTTTTGAATCAAAATTGAAAGAGAAATCGAGTAACATAATGAGAAAAGCCAATATTATATTATTATATTTAGACTATATTTTAACAATATAGAAACTACCTAAGGGTTTATTATTAATGTTATATAGTAGATATTTTCAAACTGTTCTTTTGAAGCATTATTAGTACAATACGCAATATTTTATCTGACGTAGGTAGTTGAATCACGTGTTTTGTTTGAGTTTCAATACGTCCATTAAACGTCCCGAAATCTGTATTGTCTTCGATATAATAATAATTAGTTACTCCGAATAATTATTTTCAATCCCCATTTTAAGTGTAATATAATTTTCTAATTTATAAAATATCATTATTTTTCCGATAATGTATCTCTTGAATATAGATTTTATTTAAGAAACGGGCATATTATACTATAAACCCATACGATGAAAAATTTATACGAGCATTTTATTTCACTAACAGAAATCTTGTAGCGAAATTCAAATGGAGCATATTTTCTTAAATATAATTATAGTACGAAAAGTTCATTACATATTGTCTTTAGTGGCCAAACAAAAAATATTGAAAGTAATGTTATTATTATTATTTTTTTAAATATATATATATATATATATATTATATTACCGTGAAATGTTGACAAAATTATAAAAATTATACATTTATAACGTAGTGCGTTAAGATATAAATTGAATAAATTTATGTATCCTACCTTCCTCATTTCACATCTAAAACAGTGGAACACCCATCCAAAGTCTCCGTATTTTTTCTTTTATTCTGTTGTTTTTTTGCAGTTTAATCATTATTGGCGTAATATACAATATCCGTCAATAAGCTTTATGGATGAATCAAACATTTAATACACCATATTTCTGTCTATTGGGAGTAAATAAATAATAATAATTTAATTGACAGGTATTTCAAATGATAATCATAATAATAATTATATTATTATATATATTTTATTTAATGTACAATCTTGAGTTTAACGAAAGAAAATAAGTAAATATTAAAATATGTATAGGCAAACATAATATTTTAACATGTATTCTAATTAAGCACAAAAAGGTCGGCGTTACGAAATTAAACACCGTTCGAATTATTAATTTAACGACTAGGTATTAAATTATATTCTCGTCCTTAAAACAATACACCGGAAATCATCGTCATTTATTTATTTACCTGCCTGTTGTTCATTATCCATAAAAAAAAAAAATATTTATAATAATCGGTTGTCACTGCTTCTGGAATCGTCGGGAAATTAATTTGAAATTCTGGAATTTTAATTTTAAACTTAAATCTCTATTTCCAAAACTGTTAACTATTCAAAATTCGAAAAAATCATATTATATTATTATATTCATGAATATTTTTTTGTTACGTACCTATTTAATATTATAAACACTATAACTTTTAAAAGCATGTTTATTGTTATGCATTGTTACGTTTATTCTTTTTCCCGTTAAAAACGGTATTAAATGTAAAAAAAAAAAATGAAAGTAACAAACATATTATTTGTTAAATCTGGTAAATTGCAAAAAATTTACTGGAAAAAACATGGAAAAGTTGGAGAAAAATCAAATTAGAATTTCATGCCAATTAATATACTGATAAAAACCAATTTTGATAGGAATATTAGGCATGATCACTGAATTTCTAAAATTGAACGATTTAAATTGTTTTAATATTCCCTGGATTATATATATAAACAAGGGTGAACCTAGTATCTATTTAGTATTTACGGTCAGGGCTTATTTTTGGAAATGCATCATTTTTGGCTTCAAATTTATTGTTTTGTCATCAACAATTCAAAGTGTATAGTTTTGATTCTTGTCATACTATCGAATTCAACATGAAAAAACATAAGGATTAAAAAAGAAAAAAAAAATTGGAAGATTATTAATTACATTTACAGTGTAAATACAGATTTCGAAAAAATAACAGTTTTCATCATCAAACACACACATTTAATAAAAAAAAAAAAGAGAAAAATTCGAATTAGTATCCGAGGACGCCCGCAGCCATTTTTTTCAATTAGTGTAAACATTTAATTTCACATCCTTCTTTTGTATCGAAAAACAATTCATTAAATTATTGGGAATTGTAAGTATTTTTTTTAATTATCTTAATGTTTTAGTGCCAAGTGATGCCCCCCTGCGAACATCCTTGAAACTGCGCATTTATTGCTATCTATATTGTATGTTATCATTAACAAAAAACATCGTTTCATAAAAATGGCTTAATGTATTTCAACTTTGTTTTGACATAAAACATTGGTTATGTATTAAATACCTATGATATTATAAATATATATATTATAAAACCATAGTCAATACTAAATGATTGAACCATTGACAATAAAAATGATTCTGATCGGATTATTGTTAGATAGATTTTTTTCATTTATTGCCAAAATAACCCAGAAATCACCAAAAATGATTTACAAATTTTTAGTTATTTCCATTTGTTCGTAAAAATATTCGAAAAACCATAAAATTACCGTTTTAATGCACCAACTAAATCGAAAATACTATACAAAAATTCCTATAAGATATTTCACTAGAGCATGATTTCTAGTAAAAAAGTTGTTTTACAGACACGCAAAAAAAAAAAAAAACACAAGCAAACACATCATGATAAAACCAATATATTACTTATTGTTTCACTCAAAAAGAAAACTTAAAAATAAATTGAACAAATCCAAAGTTATTGCATTTGTCAGATCTCCGTGAATCATCCTTCATGTATGTTACGAAATAAGATGGTTGCTCTTATGAGTCTTATATTATCAGAAATTTTAAAAAACACAAAATGTCATTATCACCACCACCGTTTTCAATGACACATTCTCTCTCCTTTTCGTACTTTCCGGCTGACTTGAGAAATCTATAATATTAAATTATACTCAGTGAGCCCTTAAGCGCGACGATGATTGACGTTTATTGGTACAACCGTAGACGATTTAATTAAAACCGTGTATACCTACCTATTTATAGAGTCATATTTTCTATACTCCAAACACCCGGCAGCTTTTATAATATTATAGGTAGGACGTATCGATATATTAAGTATTATATAGGCACGTATAACATTAATAAAATATTTGAAATTGATATAACCACGAGTAGAGAAAATGGGATATTCTTTAAAAATATCATTTGGACATATTTTATAAAAAAAAAGATGGACACACTTCGTAACTCAGGTGTGTTGCTATTTTCAAAAAGATAAAACATTTAGACTAATTCAATTAAAATATATATAGTATGTACATAACAATAAATCATTGCCTATGGAAAACGATTCTGATGATCGGACTAAGATTTCTATGGCACAAAGGTTACTAAAAAACAGAAAAAAAAGTATTAAGCTCATAATACAGTAAAACCAATACATAATTGCTACGCTTAGAATCAACAAAAAAATTATACAAATACTGATACTGCTGATAGGCGAGTAATTGTTTTAGTAGAGAGGTCGGAAGGAAGGTTATATAGAGTAATTTAATTTATATGTACATGCAACGATTAATAATTGCAAACGAAAAACTATTCTGTTCCCGGTGTTATTAGCCGTATTTTCGCCCTTATTGCTAAGGTAATATGGAAATCAACAAAATTCTGAGAAAATTACAAAGAATATCAAATGACGAATTCAATGTACCAATCGGATCGAAAATTCTATTAGAAAGTTTTTTCCTAAAGTTTTTATTGGAACAAGTATTTTCGTAGAAAAGTTTTTTGAAGACAAAATAAACACAGGTACATTATAGTAAAACCAATACATTACTTGATCTGCTCTGGATCTAAACTAATTATTACGGAACTATGTAAATTTACATTTTTCCGGTGTATATATAGGTGAATAACGAAATAATAACATACGGACGATCGTTTATTCAAAAACGCATGTCTATATCTACGTGTAACAACTGCACGATCGACAATTAAATTAAATGTCGTGTGTCCGAGGCAAACAAACCGAATTCGGTAACTACAAACCGTACTATCATATTATTGTACCAATCTACTACACTATTGGGGTTGGTAAATAATATTACCGGTGGCAACTGTAATATTATACGGAAACAAGAGAGGAAAAAGTAAAAACGAATTAAATATTATTTACAGTTCAACGACTCCGCAGTATGTGTTTCAGAATTTTTGTTTTTTTTTTTTTTTTTTATCAGATATCCTTCTTCTCTTGATATTATGTTTTAGCTTAATAAAGTTCCCAAATTTTTTTTAGACGTTTTTTCAGAATTTTAAAGGTCGCGAGCATAGTTTTTATAAAATAAAAAAAAATGAGATTTATTTGTTTTTATTTGTTTATATATGTAAATAATAATATTATAGGCAAGATCTTTAGACCAAAAATCATCAGAAGAAAAATATAAACACACACTTATATTTTTTCAGATTAAATAGTCTAAATTTTACCTCTCGTTCAGGCCGTAAATTTTTAATAATTTTGATAAATCAACTTTCTTAACCACCCTTAAATATATTTTTTAGGGATTGAAAATATGTTTTACTAATTCTATATTTAGTTACCAAGAGAATGGTTATACTTGAAATTACACTAAATAATACAATTTTTATATCAATTTGATATCATAAATTGATTTTTGATATTTTTTATATAATTTTAAAACAACATTGATTAAATTGATTAAATGTTAAAAGAACAAAATTAAATCCTATCTGAAAGCACTAATATGTAAGTATTTGGCAAACAAATTTCGGATCTCTATGATTGTTTTTAACCGAATTATAACAAAAAAAATAAAACAAAATCAAAAATAAAAGACTGTTACTGCGTATATTTTACAAAACAAAACCATAAAACAATTTTTAAAATTGTTCACAAATGATAAAAAAAAGTTAACATTTTACTTTACAATGGTTGTATACTTATTATATTAATTCTAATCTTTTCAGTTATTTAATGTATTATATTATATAGTAAAGATTAATTCAGGAATTAATTCTACGAGATCCAACGCCTAATTATTTCTATAGTAAAATTAATTTTCAAATGGTCGATTTTAAAAATATTTTTAACCGCTGTAGTGATTTTGAAACAGACGTTGTAATTTTCGACATACAGTACATCCCTAATGTTGTGGACTTAATATAATATAATATTATGTTATTTCCCTTGGCGAGTCCACCTCTGACAGGTTCTTTTTTTGTTGTAGTAAATTTGTGTTGCATTAGGTTGTACATATTTTCCATTTTATCATGATGTGGTAAAGGAAAGGTTCCTCCAGTGTATTTCCCCTCCTCTAGGTTATCACTTTATGCAATTGAAAGACAACCTTAGGATAAATCTCGAAAGGCTTTAATAATCGAATTGTGAAATATTTGCTCATACTATATCTATATAATTCATTAAGCAAAGATAATTAAATAAAAAAAAAATTAAATTATAATTTTCTGATTTTATTAAAAAATTACATTAAATTCATTTTAATAATAATAATAAGAGATTTTTTAAAAAGTATGCAGAAGGTGCCTAATAAAATACATTATAGATGCCAACGCAAAAATTATATTATTATAATTTCCTCTTGTAATAATGTATTATTGTAGAAAGAAAGTAACATTTTGTTGGACAAATGGTCAAAAAATGAAGCGTATTAAATATAATAAATACATTGGGAGTATTTCATGAAAAATGTTAGGGTTGAAAATAATTGATTTATATTTTTTATTGTCCTAATAAACAAACAATAATGCAGCCACAGGAGAAACACAAAAACTTCAGTTATTGTTTCAACCATATTATATATTTTATTTGAATGTACATATGTTTGCATATGAGATTTAAAGTACTACAGTATCTTTATATAACCATAACCTAATTTAACCAAACTAAAATTTTAATTGTAAAATAAAAATATAGTATTATGGAGTAATTTAAAACAAAATTGATTCATTTAAAAAGGTGATACTGCTAATGGATAATTATAGATATAGTACAGAGTATTTAATTTATATCTGTACGCACGGTTAGCCATTGTTAACAAAAAAAGATTCTGAGTAGAGTAGTATTGGTTGTATTTTTTTACTTTTTGCCAAGGTAATCCAAATATCAATAAAAGTAATATTAAGAATTATTATAAGAAATATTGCCAGTTTTTCCTATTTTTAATAAAACTACAAAGAATATCAAAAAATAACTTCCCTAATTCACCAAATAGAATAAAAATTATACTAACAAATTCTTGTAATATTTTGATTGAAGCAAGATTTTTAGAAGAAGAGTTGTTTACAAACCAAACACACACACACACAAATAAAAACACATCATATTAAATCCAACACATTTCTCACTTATCTCAGAATTAAGGACTTGTTAAATGTCTAATATACCACATCGTTGTGTGTGTACATGTAATGTGATGAAATATTTGTTTTTCGATTACCTGATTCCATTAAACTTTAAGCATACAATTAAATATACATAATACAAATTATATATAAAAGGTTTTTGAAACTAAATCATATTTACTATGTGGTCATCGTAAATATTAACGACTTGCGCATCTTTTGCTCGGATTATAATTTACCAACTAATGTGAATTTATAGGAAATGCATTTTTTTTTATTTTAGCTAATTGTAAAACGTAGATTTTTTAACTCAATTTGCGTCGTATAACAACGAATTCAATTTTAATATTTTATTTTGCATTTGTTTACCTTTTAAAGCCGTGTTTCCTTTTAAATTTATTTTATGCTATTTTTATCCGTTTTTACATTATGCATTCTTTTCTTTTTTTTTTTTTACACAGGCTGTAATATAGTGTATAATATATTTCTTGTTTTAAATAGTTTACACAAGAGTAATGCTATGTATGAGTTAGTATACATGTGCAACGCTTCATTTATCACGATTCAATAATATAATATGTTGTCTTTAAAGGCGACTTATCACTTATCGTATTCATGATATGATACTTTGGTAAAGGTGATAGAATCAGGTACAATATTTTACATTAAAATATTAAATTTTAGTCTAGATAGCAAATATTTCAATTATTAACTAATATTCAATAATTGATAAAAATAAATATAGATAAAAATGTAAATGTAAATACTTAATATTATAAAAATGAAAATGCGAACCTGTTTTTTATTTCTGTAGGTATGTGTTATACTCGCTTAATACCCTGTATGCGTTATTATCAAAATATTATTAATATTATTATCATTGTTTGTTGTCTTATTTAAAAGGTTCTGGGAGAAGACCTTAAGCATATAATCGTTGTGATATAGGTAGTATGTGATGAGTACTATAACGAACGTTTCTCTTGTAGCTAATATTATGATTTTACATATAATATATTATTCATACATTCGCCATATCCGTGTATTGTTGTTTGTTTTATCCTCTTATGAGTTGTATTTAATATGAAACCTGGGCAAAATTTTACCGAATGTCTACGTGTGTGTAATATGACCATTCAGAAAAAAATTATAAAAGCTATAAAGGGGCAGCGAAGTAAACATAATATGATTTAATCTATATATTATGATAATAATGATGGCTGTTAATTTTTAGAAAAGTGCATGTTATTGACTAATCGGTTTCCTAATTTCTTTCTTAACATAAAGTTTAAATCACGTAAAACTGAGTTCAAATGTGAAACTTTTATTTTGTGCTTTTTGATATTTTAAATTTTTTAGAACATTTTTTTACTAATATTTTTTTTCTTTTTAGTTCATATTTCGATATTTCCTCCCGTTTATACATGAACTACAGATTTTTTTTAATTTACACAGGCTATAAATAGGCGATACCTATTTTTGTTTTAGAATATTTTACACAAGCTGTATATAAATAAGTTTATAAAGAAATTCTTTGAATTGTTATGATTAGATAGAATAAGGCTATATTGAGTTAATAAATTGTGATATATCATTATTAAATTTGATGAGAGGGATTTCGATAAATATTTTACTGCATTTTTAAGGTTATGCAGTTTATTTCACAGCCCTATTGATAACTATACCGATAAATATGTTCATCAATCATGGGTATACGTATTTCGTAGTTGATAGTATCATGGGTATTTATTGGGTGGAAGATTGCAAGGATGAAAATAAACTCCCTGGATTTTCGTATCTACGTTTTCGTACGTGGATAATTGATAACAGTTTAACAAAAAGGTCAGTATCGTTGAAAAATACAATTAAAATAATACATTGTATTCTCTCCTAGATTTTTGATAATGGACGCCCTTGGGTAATTTGATAATATTATATAAATACAAAAAATAAAATTTTAGAGGATTTTCGTTCGTTTCGAGCACTTATTTACGTTTATAAATGAAAACCACGCAGTATAATATAAAAAAAAAACCGTTGTAATTTAGTCACTTATTTCTGTTCAAGGGGAAAAAAAAAAGTTTATTTTAATGCCACATTAGATACCATATAATTAGTATATATAAATGGCGAAATGTTACGTACTTACTTTAATAGTGAAATTATGAGATTTTAATAACATTATTATTTAAATTAGTTTTCAAGCGCCTATAGACACTTAAGTGAATATTATATGTATAGATATTTTTTTATTATTAACTAATACCAATAGTAATTAGGTATTTGAATTTAATTATAATAGAATTTAATACTGGCGTTTGGTATGTTAGTTAAAAAATAAATAATTGATTATTAATAATATGTATCTCTCTATTTGTGTTTTGAGTTGTGTTTGATTTTGATTGGGTGATATTTGTGAAAATAAAAATCATTGTTATAACTAATATAAACAACAGAACTAGCAATTAATTAAACTGTTTCGAAAAAAAAGGTTTTTAAAAAAATGAACCTTAAATTAAATTTAGTGCAGCTAAATAATTTTATTCATATTAAACAAAATAAAAATTTTAAAAACTTGAAAATGTAAATTACCTATTGAAAAACAAAAAAAATTGCTACAATATTTTGAAATTTTTATCATATCTGCAAATACTAATGTGATTATTTTTTGAAAATATCAGTTTTCATTTTTGAACGGAACTACAATTAAAAAAATGAAATCTAATTTTATGAAATGGTAATTTGAAATCTTAAACTTCCATATTTTTCCAACGTTTTTTTCAAATTAATAAAATGACAACGAAAATTTAAAAAAAAGAAACACGTCTTCTTTTGCATTATCTAGAGGATATTTTCTTTAAGAAGATGCTATTCTTGGAACTTGGATCATGATTTCTGATAGAAAAGAAAAATAGAAAATAATGAAATTTATCGCCGTAATAAATGCCAATTTTTTCAGGTTTTTTCCAACTATAATAAAAATAACTTAAAAATAACCTGCCCAAATTAACTAGATCAATAACTAGACCCAAATTTATAAAAAAAAAAAAAATCATTTTTCAATCAGATTAATATTTTTGGTAGATAAGTTGTTTACTGATAGAAAAATATATCGCGCACTTTGTAATAAAACTAATACATCCTTACTCAGATCAGAATTTAAATAACCGAAAACGTAGAACTGAACAGATAATAGAATTATTAGATACCACCACAAAACAATACCCACTATAATATACCTACGAGCGATCATGTCAGAAGTATTAAGTAAAATTTTCACCGTTTGTATTTTTCACTGGTGATGATTGGGATATAGTTCTTGTAATATGTATTATTAATTAAATTTTTTATTTGGATTTTCGGATATTCATTATTTTAGAGTTTTATCATTTAAAACTATAAGTGGTTCACATCAGTGTTTAGTATCAAAAGAGATAATTCGGACATAAACATAATAATTATCATTCTTAATTCTAATACATAAAAAACACTCGAAGATATACAGGGTATCACATAAGGATTTGACAAATGTAATAATTTTTGTTTTATTCAATATTTTTGATATCAAATTTTTTTAAACAATTAGTATGCCTCACCGCTGCAGTTTATATATGAATATTTTATTTAGGGAAAGTGGGAAAATAAAAAATAAAACATTTAACTATAATTTTTTTAAAATTTGAATAATTTTCTTTTCAATTATAACAATATTGTTAATCAACATAAATTACAATTATCCATTAATTGAAACTACCTCATAACTATATTATAATAATATTAACTCATAGAAAAGAAAATCCTGACTAATAATTGATAACTGAATAACCACAATAGGTAATATTCATATTTCAAAAACTTCATAACATAGTAGAAAATAACTTTAATAAAAGTTTCAATCACAAAAAATTTCTAAAAATTTATTTTGAATTTTTTAAAAATAAATAAAGTTAAATTAAAATTTTTTTATTTTAGTCCCCCTCTCCCTAAAACAAAAATGTTCATATATAAACTGTATGCCCTGAAGCATACATATTATTTAAAACAAATGTATATCAAAATTATTAAATAGAACAAAAGTTATTGCATTTGTCGAATCCTCGTAAAACACCCTGTATAATTGGAAAACGGTCCAATGCCATAATGCGGATAGTTTTGAGTGAATCGTCGCGAATAAGTTTATGTTGCAGACTTGCAGCTCCGATCACGCTTGACAACTATTTCATTTTGCAACATGTTGCTACTTCAATAGTCGCTAAACATTTCTTTACGTTTCCAAAAGTTGTAACGCTGTTATATGTTTATGTTGCAGGCGACAAATGTCCAAACTATTGTTTCTTGTTTCGATATATAATACGAAGCGAAACGTGTTTATACTGCGAACAATTTAAAAGATCGGTAACAATTAATATATATATAGTGGCAGGTTGTCACAATAGCTTATCAGTGTTTACTGCTAACAGACAGAAAATTGTTTTGATTCACAAGTAAATAATATTATTATTACGTGTATGACTGTAATGTGTAATAAATTAATTTAAATGAGACGTTGCCCGTTTGTGCGGACACTTTGTTTTCACTGAGCAACGTGTTTCGAATATTGTTACCGAAAATTGGGTTTTTATTGTAGATGCATTATTACTGTGGATGCATAATGAAGACAGTGTGTTTATAATAATGCTATGGTTTGTGTCTAGGAAACATGAACGACTGACATTATTTGTATAGCTACCTGTCAACATTTGTGTAAAACGGGCTTTATATCTTTATACCTGCGCCGTGGTATAAATAAGCAAAAAGATTATCCAAACTTGAAACCTTGCCAAGAATAGAGCTTATACGTATAAATACTTTTGAATGACAAATTCCTAATAATAACGAAAATACGCATTCAGAACGAACTTGTTCCCTATTACGTTTTACATGGTGGTCTAAAATTTCGGCCATCAAGTCGATAAATTTTTATTTTTAATTTTCCCAATAAGCTGAAATAATTTTTGATTAGGAGGTAGTTTAAATTTTAAAATATATAAAGAAAGATAAAAGATAATTTCTTAAATAATTATTTGAGTATAGATAAAAGATATATAACTATTTTAGTTAGATACAACCCAAATAAAAATAAATAATCAAAAACTTTTTACCTAAATCAAAAATAGATGATTTTTTTTATTAACCTATTTAAATTATTTTCTAAAAGTATTAAAGATTTACACATCTAGATTTTAAAAAGATAGTGTAGTTAATATAAATTAATAATTTATTTATTAAATCAAATATTTTACCTACTATTTCTATTATAACTTTTACACGATTTAAATGTATTATTCTAGATTATTCAATTATTTATCTTCCGTAAACTATTAGATAAAAATACTTCCTATCTAGATAAAATAGAACACTTGACGTGATTTAACGTGTATGGTGTAACTTTGTTTCATATAATAACAATATTATATTTGTAATCTGAAAGCTTTCTAAAATACTGTTTGCAAAAAAAACATTGGCTCCACTAAGATGTATTTTTTTTGTATCTGTATATTCTTTTTCTACTCAAATCAAAAATTTTTTTGTAGCATATTTAATCTAGTTGGTACATAGAGGTGAACTTTATTTTATTTTCCTGTAACTTTCTTAATAAATATAAAAATCTGGTAATTTATTACATAATTTGTATTGTTTTCTGGATTACCTTGGTAATACGATTATAATACTCTGCTCAGAATCGTTTTTATTTAACAGTAGTTTATTTTTGCGTACAGATATACATTAAATAACTATTTATATCCTCCCCCAATATACCTCCTAAAACAGTTGCATACCCATCAACAGTATTAGCTTTATTTATTTCATATTTTGTGTTTGTTACACAATATTAACTAATCGTTTTAATATTGGCTTCAAAATACATCCGATTTGAGGGAACACATTTTTTAATTGAATTGATGTTGAAGGTACAGCTCTTTACATAATACTTATCTTACACATATGATTTATAAAAAGTATGAGCTAAAAATAATCAACAAAAAATAAATACAAATAAGTCTAAAAATATTGACTTATATAAAACGATTTAAAATTAATAACATGTATTAATTGGAGTGAGATTATTAGTTACAAATTAAAACAAATTTACAGGCTATAAAACTTGGTGCACAAAATTGTAATTTTGGGAACACGATATTTTAAGCCCAGGACTTAATGTTGAAGTTCCCCGGTTCTGCCAAATCGTTAATATTCACAATAATTGTACATTTTATTTTTGCACATTGTTTTTAGATTGGTTTTGTGTCACGGCAATAAGAATCTAATGAAAATTCGTTGCTAGGGAAATGTAACTCCGTTATAGTTTTTATAGGTTCGCTATTTAGTTTAGTATTTGCCCGGGCCCACTAGTTTTAATTATTTCATGTAAAGCTAATATGGTACATTATTTTTTCCTCGATATAATACAAATATTTCTAGAAAGCTTTTGTTTATTTTAGATGTTATACGTATAATGGTATCATAATAATATGTGAAATATGAGCGAAAATTAGAAATTTTTCGAATTTATTTATAAAATTATCTTTACTGATTTTTAAATTTTTATGAGTAAATTGATTTCTTCCTTTTTTTTAGTTTTTTTTTTTTTTTTTTTTATATACAACAAAATTCAATTCGATTAAAAATACTATTAAAGTTATCGTCTCTTCTTAAATTTAACAGCAGAGCGAAGTGCTGTAAAATGCTCTCGGTTAAAAAATGATTTCCCCAAGTTTTCTTCGTACCTATTACCTAAACGTCAAAAACGCTTATAAATAGCTTATCTATAGTCAATTGGTTCAATATCCAATATAATATATGTGCATATGAATTTTCCGAAATATATTCCGTTTAGGAATAAAAACGTGAGTTGCGTTAAAAAATATATACCTAGGTTTAAGACTTGACATGAAATCCGTGAGTAAAAAATATAAAATAAACATATTTTATTTTATGCAATAAAATATTATATAATATTTTAAGTAAGTACTTCGTTATAAAATAACAAGTCATATGTTGACCGAAAAAATCATTGTATACTAGTTAGTTGACACTTGTATCATTTATATGTTTTTCAAAAGAATTAACAGATTCTATGTGAATTTACACAAACAAATAATTTAATCATCTCTGTGGTCGGGTACTTACTTTATAATCGAAGAAAATAAAGAGGAGAAAGATTCCCATCTAATCAAGGAATAGAAAATGAGGCATTATTATCATTTATTTTTATACTTGGAGCGTTGTGAGGGATCTATTTGTTTTACTATTTGTGTTCTGTATTTTTTAGATTCTGAGCTAAGTGAAAAATATATTGGTTTTACAATGATGTATACTTTCTAAATACATTTTGTAAATTCCTTAACTTAATTTCTTAACCATCCTTCATAACTATCCACCTATAACAGTGGCACACCCGTTACCATTATCACCTATTTTTTTAAAAATTTATTTATTAGTTTTAGGCATTAGTTGAGTTACTTAAAGCAATTCAAAATATTTATTAACAGGAACATATTTTTCTGAAACCAATCAATACCTACTTATATTTTTATAAAATTATTTTGATCTTTAAAATTTTATTTGTTAGTATCATTTTGTGAAATTATCAAAATAATATTGGTTACCATATTTTTGCACTGTTACCTATCGTTTTTATTACCACTGTTTTTGATTTCGTATCGAAGTCTGAGTCCGATACGAGTCCATGCGCATTACTCGTATACTGTACATGCAACTTCTTGACCGCTTGATTTTAAACCGATACGTATCAATATACTCAAATTTCAATATGATAATATGATATCCAAGTCATTAATAGTTAAAGCTTTATACATTTCTTTTGTATGGTAAATTATTATTTGTTTTTATTAAATATTAATTTTTATTTTATTTTATAACTTGCAAGTTTAATTTAAGACGTTTGATTCATTTTGGTGGTATAAATAAATTTAATTTCACCTTCCCCTACAGATTGGTCTAGAGACATCCCTGCACCATTGTAAATGAAATCATCTAGATAAGTAATGACAATTTTATAGTATGAATAAAAATATTAAATTGTTTGTTCAATGACTGCTCGGAAATGAGATAATGATCTGGCTCAATATCAATTCTTCATTTTATCCCTTAAGTGCAATCCATTTATTAATTTATTTATGATTCAAACCAATGTCAATATTTTACAAATTAATTACAAAACCGACGTCTAGTTATAAATATATAGGTATATATTACTATAATTTTTGTCCCGTAAATTATTGAAAATTAATTAAACCTTTTATGCGGATCATGTTTTAATAATAATTATTGTTTGATTCGGGAGAAATATATCACTAATCGTGTTCGAAACACGAACCCGTTAAACGTTCTCCGATCGAGTATAGAATTAAAACGTCCAGTAAATTTTATGTTTATGGTTACCTGCCTATATATATATATATATATACGTATATATTACGGGATAGCAGTAAACACGGTAGAAAATAATTGTCAATTAGAAAAAATCGAATGGAATCGCATGGAACGAAGCAATTATTATAATACGCGTTTAGCTGTCGGTTTCATTTCGTTCGGGCGCGATACCTACGTAAAAATAAAAGTATAAATTCGATTTGTCTTCACTTTATATTATATAGAAACGGTAAAATCATTGAATGTTAGTGAGATCTTGTAGGACATTTGCTTTTTCCATTTTACAATTTTCTAAAATAAATATTTCTGAGAACGTGCTTTTGTGCTAACTATTGAATTTTTTTAAAAAATAACCTTTTAATTCAATACCTATACATAAGTTATAACTTAAAACTTACATTTAATTTTGTTTTGATATTGAAATGAGCAACACTGATTTCCGATTTATTTAACTGTTCGAGTCAGACACACGTAAACATGGTATTAACTCAACATCTCACACGTATTTTTTAATTATTTCTACAAAATATAAAACATGATGCTTAACTACCGGATTCAATATGATATTAAAAATATTGAAATAGTGAAGTCATACGTGCTAAGTAAACGAATTCATAATTATAAAAAAACAGTATTATTTACATTCTACTTCTATACGTAGCCCAACAATGATAAATTAAAATCTGGTTCTAGAAAACGCCAATTTTCATGCAATAAAAATAGAAATTTTTTTTAAACTTAGCTGAAATATGTACGTTTCAAGATAAAATTGCTAAATAAATAATCATAGTTGTTTTATTTTCAAGTCAATGGGAAAATGAGATATTAATTCTAACCTCCTCCACCCCTGCACACACCAATGGATCCAGTAGAATTTATGTCATGTACTTTCATTTCCCGCAAAACGAATTTAAAATTACGTATAAAGTGCTGAGGTTATAGAGTATATAGTCATAGTCTGTACTCTCTTTACATTCATCAGTGGAATAATCGTATGTGATAAATTGTAGGTACACATTCAAGTTGTATTTTAAATTTCAAAAATGTCTTCTCGAAAATTTCTTGTAAATCTAATAAATCTATCTAATATGTAGTTTAAATATTGAACATATTTGAAAGTTATTTAGCTTTAAAACATGGTTCGTCGAAGCCCAAATAGACGTAACATAATATAATATTATGTCTTGTCAAGAATTTCACGTAAATTTTGCCCGACCGCGTGCAGCATACAATGAATATGTTTGACGTACAAGTGAAGATTAGGTTATATAATTATAGATTATAGATTACGTAATAATATGTGCGTAATTAGGGGCCTGTGGAATAGCGGGTAAATTCCTAATGGCTACCGCTGTTATTCAACGTTAAAATAATATTACTATAACGATGTCAAATTTGTGTACATCAAATAAACTATTAAAAATGATAAATAATAATCAGTATTGGGAAAGAATAGAACTCTAAAAATGGCATAAAAAAAACATTAAAATCAAAAAATGCAAAATAAAATTTGTTATTTTCAAATTCACGTAAATGGGCCACTGTTGTAGGTGAAAAGTTGGGAAGGTCGAGGAGAGATTTAATGTACATCTGTACACAACGATTTACCATTACTAACGAAAACCGGTTCTAAGCAAAGTACGGTTCACGGTGGCGCTTTTTGAATAACATATATGTCATATTATGGTAAAATAATTATGTATGCTTTAAACATATTAAAAATAATTTATACATTATTCATTAATAATATTTGTTTTATATTGTACCTATTTTCCCATTTTTCCTGCGGTTTTTCCCATTTATTACGAAAACAGCTGGGAAAATCAAAAAATGACCTCCCTATAATACCACCCAAGTCAAATTTCCTTTTAGAAAAAGTTCTATCATTGTAAATTATTGTAGCAAAACTGCTGGTAGTTATTCATAGATAAAAAAAAAAAATATATATTATCATTATTGTAAAACCAATACATTTCTCGCTTTTCTCAAAATCTAAAACTAAGCAGACGTGGTAAAGTTTTTTTTCCCAAAAATATTAACCCGACGATATTTTCGCTATTTTCGCTAGTTATACCTATGGTAAAATTTTCCGTTCTTTCGTTTTATAAATTTCGAGTGAATCCCACTGTGAGTCCCACTGGAATAATATTGGCTGCTCATTGGCCGCGGGAGGTCTCCTAATTTTCCGTTTTGTTATTATTTTTTGTTTGTTTTGTGAATTACAATGAATACAAACATATTCTTGCGAATAAAGCGAAAAGCGTTAAATGCAATTACCTACCTCCGCTAATGAAAATTGCGCACAAAACGAAATCATATACGACCCCCTCCATGTGCATGCATTGTACCGGACAGATATTATTATAACATGAAAACACCAAAAAAAAAAGAAAAAAAAAGAATGGTATTACTTGACCTCCCGTGTATAGAAACGCGATTTTGTATAGTAAAATAAAATAAAAAATCCGATAATATAGTAGGTATATTGTTATCTGTTCATATTATACTATAAGGTAAATAATGCGTGATGCTCGTAATGCATATAATGACTATAAATATATAAAACAACTATAGACACCTACCTAACCGAATATATAAACCAAATTTTGTCGTATACGACATCTATATGAATATATGCGATACATGAGGACGATATCAAGTCATCAGTAGCAGTAAAGTACCAAAAAAAGCAAATCGTATTCGTTATCCATGTACATATTTGTTTATGCCATGAATTATATGATGATATAGAAACAATTTGTGAACTGAGACATGTCAAATATCTTTCATATTATCACTTATTTATCACATAACTCACGTGACATACACAAATATTACATGGATTAATCAATATGTTTAATGTGTTATGTGAATGTTAAGCTTCAGATTTACTGAAAGTGCCGGCTATTTATAAAAGATGTTCTTGTTTTGTACATTTGAGAATGTTGGGATAGTAATTTTACTTTCTGAGCGTAATGAGGGACCTATTGGAATTTTGTTATTTCTGTATGTGTGAGCAACTTTTTGAATAGAGAACTTGCTTTGATGTGACAAGTGAACACGTGTTATAAAAAGAAATTTTATCTAGTTGGTGCATTAGGGAGGTGATATTTTGAATTTCCAAGGGATATCCATAATAATTTGAAAAACCGAAAAAAAAATTATCTGAAAAATAACAAATAGTAACGGTACACCGCGGCGTTACCTATTTTATTGTTTTTAATTTTGACATAATATGTTTTCTACCAGAAATATTGTTCGCGGATCGATAAATGACAAGAGTCAATTTTTGTTGTATATAGAATCTAGTTGATAAATGGACAAATAATTTTTTTGATTTTCCCAGCATTGCTTTAAATTTAAACTACGATAACAATCGTTGTAAAAGAAACAACGATTTTGATACAAACATCTTGGAGGGGAAGGTTATGGGAAAATGTCTAAAAAAAAAAAATTCATTATTTTAAATTTGTGAGGTTTATGTTTTCTACAAGAAATATCTCTTAAATTAAAGTATTTATTAAAATGGGTTTATGATATTCAGTATTGTTTTTTTAATAATTGATTAAAACCGGAAAATAACTTAGAAATAACAGAAAAGCTTAAGAAAATAAAAGTTTTATTATTTTCAATTCTGAGCGTAGCGAGGGAGCTATTGGTTCTACTAAGATGTTTATTTTTTTATTATTTCTTTCTTTTTTTTAGTCTGTGAACATGTTTTTCTCAGCAAACCTGCTCCGGTGTATAAGTGTAGGACCTTTTCTAAAAGGTCAAGTTGTTAAGATTGTACTTTGCAGAAGTCATTTTTTGATTTTCGATGCCACTTTTTAATTAAAAGCACTTAAGTAGAAAAAAACATAGGAAAACCTACAATTTCACGAGTTCATTATTTTATAAAAATACAGACGACGTTTTCTACCAGGAAAAATGATTGAATCGAAAAATCACAAGACACCTTTTTGATTTATTTTCTTACGGTATCATCGCCAAAATTTTTGAGCCACTTTTGAGCCTACCCATAATTATCTCAAAAACTATAAAACATATTTTATACTTGTTCAATGTTCACGAATTTCTTTTTTTTGTAAACAGACTATTCTACGAAGATACACTCATTTAAATATATCCTGAGAAAATAAAGATAATCAAATTCTGTTTTTTTTTTGGAATTAAGGGCTACAAATATTTATGTTTGAATTAAATTTGTATGTTTTTGTAAAAAAACTAAAAAAAATAACTTTTTTATTTTATTTTTTTTGAAAAATTTTAAGATAGAGCCATTTTATAAAGTTAAATATTCTGAAAATGTTAATGTATTAACTTTTTATTTTCAATAAATTCGTGATTTTCAATGATTTTTTAAAGTTCAGAGAAAAAAGTATACTATAATTATCCAGTAGACTGTAATCGCATTCATTAATTGATTATTTTTATTATTATTATTAATTGACTGTACATTTATTTCTCTGAACTTTGTCAATAATTATTAAAACATTATTATAAATAATCATCAATTTAATTGAAATTAAAAGTCGACACGTCAAAATTTTCAGATTAATAAATGTCATAAAATGGCTGTGTTTTTCAAATATTTGTAATCCATATTCCTGTGAATAATATACAAAAAAAAGTCAGAATTTGTTTTTCTTTATTATCTCCGGAGATATTACAGTAGGTACACCATCATGGGACACTCTTTATAGATAGAGTAGTTATGCTTTAAATTTGTTAGGTATTGACCGTGTATCTTTAATGTCGATATCACATTTTGACCATTACGATGAGCAGTAAAATTTCATTTCCATTTTATCTCCAAAAGAGAACGCCGTGCGTCCAATATATGAGGGCCGGTCGTCTATATAGAGCAACTTTAACGACATTTATAAAAAATAAAATTAAATAAATATACCAAGGTCGTAGTGGCATGGAAAATATTCAAATTCACTTTCAAATAAATTTACAAGACGTGTGTTTATTGAGGAATATATTATAAAATGTTTACGAAAAAATCGTTTTGAGAGAATGTGAACACCGAATTTCACCTAACCTAATCGATTTTACAATGATGTTTATTTTGTTTTCTGTGAACAACTTTTCTATCATACATTTTGCTAAAATTTTCAAATATAGCACTTATCCTGAAAAGAAATCTGACTAGGGTGGTACTTGAAGGAGGTAATTTTTTCAATTTTTGTCAGGAATTTTCCTAATAAATGGGAAAAACCAGGAAAAAACTTAGTGAAAACTGAAAAATGTACGAATCTTTTTATTTTTTAAGTCGTAAATATTACAAAACACGTATAACCGAATTCCGCTCTCAGAATTATTTTTAGTTTAATTGGTTAATCGTTTCGTACATTAGGTATACATTAGATGTCTCCTCTACCTTTTCCATTTCTCACATACAACAGTAGCCCACCAATCTTGAGGAGTATGTCCGTATACTTTTTTGAAAATTGACGTAAAATACCGATGTTCAAAAGTTTTATCGCAGTTTGTATGTCACTAAATTAAACTGACCAAGAAAACACAGAAAATGTATATTTGAAAATTATGTTTTTTAATAGTTAATGCATATAAGATAACCTGAGTGGTTCTAAACATCTAATCCTTATATCAAGTGTGTTTCGACGCTCAAAATACTGAGACATCCTCTTTAAGAAATATTCCCAGCTTATGTTCTTCGAACTTGTTTTTCCTTCAACTTTCAATTCAAATTACTTTCTGAAATACGACTCTATGAAAATTAAAACCACTCATCAGATATATAAGTTTATTTGCGAATCTTTCTTTTATACGACCCGTGATGATTTTTTGTCTTTTCAAATATTTTATTAATTCTTTTACGTTATGAACTGTACTAAGTAGCTTAAGTAGCGAATTTGTCTGCATTGTCCGTCTGTATGCACTTTATTAATTATTTGTCATATGGTTGCGAAATTTCGGAATGTGGTTTCCACTAAACAAGCAAGTAAATAAACATATACTTTATTTGATTAATATAAATAAAAATGTATAGAGAGCAAATTCTCCATTATAATGGTGAATCAAGATATGATTTAATAAACATTATTCTAGGTATAGGCTGTGGTTTTACTTCCGTAATAATTATTGATTATAATATTATAAATCATATTACGTGTGGGTATTATATTCATAATAGTATCATAATTTATGATCTAGATTTTCGATGATTATATTACTCGTTCCGAAAGTTCGTGGAATATTCTATAAACCTTGGATCATGCCCTACTTACCATAATGCAACAAAATGATGTATTAGTTTAATAACCAACCAAAGCGATTGTTACCTGATTTATAGTAATAATATGGTTACAGTAGAATATAGGTAGTCTTTGGTCGAGTTTAATTGTATCTATACGTGTATTCCACATTTCCATCGTACTACAATGTTAACGTGGTGGCCATTCAAAAGTCAATCGTCGTCAATTACTTTGCGTTTGTCGTCTTTAAAGTTCTCAATTCATTAGTAGCAATACTAGTGGTACTATATAGTTTCTTTATTGAAATTAGTCTTGAGAAACATTTCGAAAACCGTATAGAAATGTGTTGGTAGTAAATGGTTATTTCCACAGCCACCGGGAGCATTTTTGATGGTATCGAATTTCAACACAGGATTCGTCTATATCTATTATAAATATTCTTAAATATGAAACAAATATGATGTAGGGATGAGATACAAACGAGATACAGACGCCCAGATGATAATTTTTTAATCAAACATTGTTACCGGTATACATAATTATTTTATTGCAGGTAATGTTTTTCGTCTGGTTTTTTTGGGGTGCGGTTTTTATGTGTTTTATAAAATAATTTTTCGTTTGATATAAAAATAAAAATACGAAGATAGTCGTGGTAGGTACTAACAAAGACAAATACGATTTCCGTAAAAGTTTTGAACAGTAATGCAAGTATGTTGCCTTTTATTTTCCACCGCAGTATAAGGAATTTATACACATATATATATATAAATTTTCCTTTTCAGATCATATCATATAATCTCTTTGTATATATAGGTACCGAATTGTATCAAGATAAAGTTTTGTTTTCTTTGAAATGATGCTGAGAATATTATATTTTTATACGACGTGTGTCTACAGCATATACGTCATCTGCTAGCGATACTATGATGTGAACAAAATCAGAAGCCACATCACATCATATTGTTCGTTCAAAAGCAGCTTCTAATAAATGATTTTTACGAAATCAGATTAGATGTTTGTTACTTAATTTGTGTTTTGGAGTTTGCTCGGGATATCGATTAACAGCTATGTAGGTACGACTAACGTGGTCTACGGGTTTTAATCTCCCGCCATATTTCTTTTCGACTTTGAAAGCCATTATTTTTACATCATTTATCCGCCGAGTCGGAAAAGCTGCCGTGTCCAGACCCACGTACGTCTGTAAACACCACGAAAAATTGTTTAATAACACGTATTAGGTATATAATATACCTATATGATGAATTGACGATATATCTGTTACTTTGTGTAAGAAGGGCTAATTTTAAAATAAACGAAAATGTATTACAATAATAATAGACCTGGTGATAGATTTTTGGAAATTAATTTATTTTTTTCAACTTACTATTTTCATTTAACATTTTTTTTTTTTTTTTACTGGCCTTTCTTGTACCGAGCCACCGATTGACACGTTGACTTATTTTATGAGAGCAATAGAGGTGGTCGCCTTCCACCAATCCACTAATCAATTTGCTTGTATTTGCTATATATTTAATAAGACAACATTAGAAAAATTAGATTTTTTTTTTTTTTTTATCACTATTCTCTTAGGTACTCAAATTATATATTTTTCTTAAATTATTTCTTTATATTTTCTATATGATTAAAATTAACAAGCTGTTCAGAATTTTAAACTAACTCTTCAAGTTTTAAGTTATTTTCAAAACCTAATCTTATACGACTTTCTATCAAAGAAACTTTAACTTCTAAACTTTTGATATCTCTATATTCAAGACATCAACATTTTTTTTTTTTTTAGTATCGATTTTGAAATATTCCATTCTGAATTTATAATACTTTTCAAGGAAGTGAATAATACTGGTTGTTCCAGTTATCATGAACCATCAATTTTCTCGAAGGATTAAAAGTGAATTTGACTTCTATTTTAGATACATAATACGTGATTCACTAAGCCTGCTCAACCCATTTTTTTGGTTAAATTTTATATATATTAAAATTTTGATTTTTAGAATTTTTAAGTGCTGATATTTTCGAATATTTAAATTTTTTAACAAAATTTAAGAAGTATCCTGCAATAATACCAACTTAGGTTTTTCAAATAAGAACTTATATTAAAAATTCCATAAATAGACAGAGTATTACTTTTAATAGTTGGTAGCGGGGAGAGTAGTGGAGCACTAATAAAATGCCGTACTCCGTAACGTCATATAAATGATACTCCACTACTCTTCCCGCTACCTAAACTTGAAAATAGAGTATCTCATTAACTGGTTGACGGAAATTAAAAATTTTGACACCAAAAAGTAATAGTACAAAGTAATAGGTACTCTGTATATTTATGGAATTTTTATTATAGGTTCTCATTTGAAAAACCAAAGTTGGTATCACAATAGGATACTCCGTAAATGTTGTGAAAAATCTAAGTATTTGAAAATATCGGGTTTAACTGCACTTAAAAATTCCAAAAATCATAATTTTAATAAATATACAAAGTTTAACTAAAAAAAATGGGTTGAGCACACTTAATAAATCGCTTAGTGGATTTATATTTTTTATGTGACTATGAATAACTTTACTATCAGAAATCTTACTTCGATCAAAACAACGAGAGCTTTTTGTAACACATTGGATCTTGTTGGTATATCAAGTCCTATTAAATCCTATGTGCTTTTTTTAATCAGAAAAAATGTATCAAAAACGGGAAAGTATGTAGCAATAGTGGTTTAATTATTTTCGAATTTATTTTTTGTTGTGATTCAATAAAAATGTCCAAAGAATACTTATAATAAACTTTTTTAAAGTAATACAATTTTCAAAACATTCTGGTGATTTTGAATCTATTTATATACATTCGACATTTTCAAGTGTTATTAGTTTTTATTATGTTTATTTTTTTTTAATACGGATAACATTGTGTGTGGCTTAACAAAAATGAACATTTGAACATTTAAAATACAGTTCATTTGTTGAATATCAAGTTGTAATAAATAAAAAATTAAGTATAATTCAGTAAACTTTTTTTATAAGCAGTTTCGAAGAAAATCATCAAAAATAAAATAAAACTAAACTTTCTCGTAATAATTTAAAAAAAAATCAAATTCACTTAAAATCGTCCTGGAAAATCGTTAATTTGTGATAAATGGATTATTATGAACCCATTATTTTTGTTGTTACATATGTACTTAAATCATTATCTATAGACGTAATAAAAGTCTTTTATTCTATCAATTGAATGGAAAACAATTTTTCAACATTGCAACTTGAGAACTCTGTATGGAAGTTTTATAGATACCTATTGACTATTGTCAAACAGAAAAATTACATAATCTATTTCTATACTCGGGAAATATCGAAATAAAATCGTCTAACTCAATAAATTCGTCTCAATTTAGATAATGAGTATAAAAGAAACGATGTCGAAAAAATTGTCATTATAAAATAATGTATTTTGGTGAAAAGGAGATCTTTCGAAGTTTCAACAAACCCAGTGTTACTATTTTTGCTTATTGTATTATTATTATTATTATTATTATTATTACACATATTATTAATTATTGCGCGTTTCTATTTTAATGTTGGAAAATAAAAAAACTTTATAGAAATCATATAATATCTATTGGCCGATTACTCTCGTTCTGTTTGTGTAAGTCACTGGCCGTGGTAAATATTTAATAAGAATACATATTATTACACGGGAGTTGCCCGTATCTTTAAAATTAAACGTTTAGTTTTAAACAATGTATATTATGATTATATCAGTGATTTATTGATTCCATTATACCTAAAGCAGAGTTAAGTGTGCGATATCGTATACGCGACGCAACTGGATGTATTTTACGACGTTGATTGAGCCGGATTCGGAAGTGTCACGTGTAATTTTTTATTGCGGTTTTTTCCCGAAAGAATTCCGTTAACGCGATTCAGTGCGATGTTTAGGACGAATTACATAATTTATATCGATCGTAATATATATCGGTATGTGTCAGAAAACGTATAATGTGTTTTTCTCGAGTTTACTGCCTCGACAAATTCGTTTTCGTTTAACATGTATACGTAAATATGTATACGAGAAGTTTAGACATATTTTTGCGGGATAGTTATAATATTATAACTGATATAAGGAGTTTCCGAGTTTTCACGACACGAGTGTTTCGTTAGTAGCTTTTATAATACAGTCTAGATTTAATAAACTTGTTCGATATTATTGTAAATCCCACAGTGGACAAAAACCGACGTTCTTCTTAAATACTAATCAAATCAGACTCTCAAGATACGTATTATACGTCTTTTTTTTTTTTTTTTTTGATCATCTATAGAGCCGAACCATCATCATTAAACGAGAAAATCGAAGCTCTATTGAAACGCGGCTGTACCGTGAAATTCTAAATTAACTGTGTACGATAGTCTTTCCTGTAATCAAATAGGTAGTGTTTTGGGTGAGATGCGAAAGAAAAAAAATTATATCTGCGATTATTAAATATACAAGTAAAAAGGAAGGATGCATAAAGTTACAAGATTTATATTTGAACGTATTAATAAATAATTGCTAACATAATACGATTCTGAGTGAAATTCGGTTGAACATGTTTTGATATGTCGCGTATTTAACGATTCTCAACTTCCACATTGTTTTTGTATTGGCCATTAAGTGAAACTAATAATGAATCTTGCGTAAAATGTTCGAGATTTTAAATTAAGTCAAAATATTTGTATGCATATAAAACAGAATAAAAATTATTAAAAAAAATTTTGAATACCTATAAATAGCTCAAAAATGTTTGACCGCCTTATATTAAGCATAGAAAATGATAATATAAGCTTATGTGAAAACTTCAGGTCTTAACAATTATTTTTAACCGAATAATAACAAAAACTAGGATAATGGGGACGGGTGCAGCCACTGTTTATAGGTAATTATATAATATCATCAAACCGAACTAATAACTTCAAAATACCAATAAAAAAATTGCCACCTAAATACCGCACCTAAATAGAATACACAGAAGACAATTAATAGATTAAGAGTAGGAGTTGCCTAAACAAAGAAAAACCTGTATAAATGGGGATGCAACACAGGACCGTAAACTGTGACTACTAATATGTCCTCTAAAAACTATGTCACGCACAACTGAAGACTTAGTAAATGTAACAGTATTATATTTTACAAGTAGCCAATCAGTGGAGCAAAAAAGGCTCATAAAAAAAAAAAAAAAACGTTTGAAAAAAAGATTGAAAGATTAAAAATAAGGTTGTCATTGGCAATTGTTTTTATTTATTATTTGTTATTGTTAAGTTTCTATTATTTTAATATTTATTAAACAATCATTGTTGTCATGGAAACGCACATTGTTAAAAAAACAATACTATAGACTTATTAATATTTATATTTCTTTATTCTACAATTAAGTATCACTATTAACTGAACTCCGTTCAGAATCGTTTTTTCGTTAGCAATGGCTTATCGTTTACTCCTATTTTCCCCTTCATGGTGTCGAATTTTCAAAAATCCTTTCTTAGTGGATGCCTACGTCATATGCTGTATCACCCGGCGTTGTCCATGCCGATTTTTACCAATATTCTTTATTATACTTTTAACTGCAGCGTAGTGTTCTATATTTATAGAACTACTCTTGACGATGATAACTTTTAAGTGTTTTTAAAAAACCTTAATTAATTGAAGAAAAAAACGCGTAACGTGTTGTTCAACGATGTTCAATCAAATGGAAAATGTCTACTAAGTATTAGGGTGATCCTTATCTTGGTTTTGGAAAAAAAAATGAAGGCCCTCCCCCTCAGATCGATTCCAAATTATGATGTTTTTCTTATTTCTTTTCGTCTCCTTATTTTGAAATTTTGTAATAATTTTTAATTAAATAACCAATTTATCTATTTAATATTTACTGAAATAACATTAATTATTAAGTCTAACTGAAATAGTCATAATGGTGATTGATTTTTCCGTGATTGTTGATTTTTTGTAGTGAAAATTGAACCAAAATTATTTCCATGCTATTAAGTAATGATCTTATAATAAGATTTTCAGAATATAAAAATGAAAGGTGATAGGAAAATAACCTGAAAAAATTTGATAATTATTTGTTTGAATTTCATGAACTAGCTTCAATAACGTATGAAACCAAAAAAAAAAGAACCACCCTACTTAAAAAGCCATTGTTATGTTAATAAAATATTTGTTTATCGTTCAACAAAAAATTGATATTTTCGATTGAATTGTTTTATTCAATTTTTGAAATATTATCAACTTTTTCTTTGTCTATTTGGTGAACAGACAGAAAATTAATTATTCCAAACGTTTTAATGTTTTACGTGGGATAATGACGATTTAAACCGTCTAATGTCTTGTATGAAGATAATTGGGAGGGTTAATTTCTACAAAATTTGTTGTTTTTTTTACAGTTTTATTAATTTCGTGGTAAAATTGTACCGCCACCAAAAAAGATTTTTCTCTATCCCTGAAATTTTGTCTAGGTACCTACACATTTTACGTTACTGGGTTGTACTTACGCTATTATAATTAGCAATTATTTAAAAATATTCATTATTTCTCTTGCGCTAGAAAATAAAACAAATAAAAAATGATATAACTGATAATAGTGAGACTGTTTATTTGATTTTAAGTTTTATATTGATCCGGACGCCCAATAATTTTAAAATTGTTTGACGTTACAGGGCAAATGCTCATATTACTCCCCTTTAACACGGTTCTGCGCCTATATTATTACTTTTGGAAAAAAACATATAATTACGTTCAAGAACAATCTTCATAATATTAAAATCATAACAATATGTCTATGCGTACCGTTGAGGATTTATCACGATTTTTTCCCCCATTTTATCACACCAATTTTACTAAACAGTGTTTTGCTTGAATTCGATTGACTATGTTAAATTGTCCATTTTAAAAATCCATCCTAAATTGGTGAGCACATTTAGTATCCCTGAAAAAACTATTCAACGAAAACAAGAGGAAGATGTCGAAAAAACCAATAACTTGAAGTCTCAAAGCAACAAAATAATATCATTTCTGACATAATGAATAATTGAATAATATCATTTATATAAAAAATAACCAAATAAATACAAGACTTCTAGAAGACCCAATACTCATTATATTGATATAATTTCCAAAGATCTGAGAGCAATTTATCTGTATTCAATTTGACTCCTAATAGAGAGAGACGGGGAGACCTAATGAAGGTCTTTAACAGATCGATAAGGTGACGTTTTTCTTGTAACATATAAAACTTATATAGGTATGTAAAACTTGTAAATTTTTTGAATAACTGCCACCCATGGTTATTTAATATTATTATCACATACATTTTATTTGGCCGAAATCAGAAAAAATGACGGTTTTCGTAATACTTTTCGAAAGTTTAAACGTTAATAAAGACGCAAGTGTGAAAAAAACTGTTATAATATGATGAGTGTCAGAGTTATAAATTGTGTGTTACGTATTATAGTAATATAGTTTAAAATATAGGTATACTATTTTTTATGTTTATTTAGAGTGTACATTCACATTTATTTATTTACACCTATTTACCTTTCATATTTCTTTCATTGTGAAATTCTACTCGGACAAAATCCCGGGTAACAGCTAATATGTATTATGTTTATATATAATATGGTGTAATATAGTATCTATTTTCGGCAAAAATTCGACAAAAAACACAATGGAACTTCAAAATCATAATGAAACACGATGGTTGCTAGTTCTTTTATACGTATGATCGATCGGTCATCATTTTTAATAAAATAATGTATGATACAATGTTTCGCTACAATAATGAGGCGACAGTGCAGAACAATGCTGTTGCGTATTTGTGTATACCTATAGTTGTAAATGCAATATTTTTGATAGCGTTACGATTTGACAGCGTTGCGAATGACGGTTTAATGTACCTACCTACTAATTTCGAAGGGTATATGTACGCTTAGGGCCAAGTTTTGAGAGTTTGGTTAGAGTTGTGGCATCAATTCTCGAGTTACGATGTATATTATAATTATAAATTGTAATATTTATTTATGAATGAACGCATTGCCTTCATTAAACTTTGTAGTTTACATTTCAAACGAAATTCACCGAAATATATCAAGTATCAAACTATCATCGAGACTATATAATGTTACCTAATATAAAATAATATAAAACGAGTACACATGAATTTTCCGAACCGTCTATAGAAGCAAATTCGATTAAAAATTGCATGTTTGCAGGTTAAAAAACTGTACGTATACAATTATACGAGCTTTTAAAAGAGTCATCTATATATATAGAATTGCATTGACTGTAATATTGTTATATTTCTCTCGCTATATTAGTATTATCAGTATTAATACACATATCGAGATACGCGCAATATTTTTGAACGTTATTTTTGTTCGGATTTAAGTAATGTTATAATTGTTCATTCGTTCTGAACCGTCGAAAAACTTGTTTGAGTTCTACGTTTTTAATGGTTCTAACGGTTTATCAAACTAACAGATTAATTCATTTTTTTTTTTTTTTTTTTAATGAAGTGAACACAAGGAGAACTAATATAAAAGTGCAACGGCTCTAACAAAAACCCGATTTTTAATACCCTTATGATCAAACAACTAGTATAGGCAGGCCATGTCTGGAAATCAAATACCATTTTGAAAAAAAATTTAGTCACGTAGATAAATGAAAAAAGACCCAGAGGTCTCGTTAAACGAATGCACTCGAGGAATAACAATAAAAGATATTATAAAAAGAGATAGATGATTGTAGTAGAGACAACAAAAGTCGTTCATCAAAGCCTGTAAAAGCTCAAAACTAAGAGAAAAAAGAAAATACTTAACGTATATTTTATACTTTAATTTATACGTATCTATTATTTAATTGTTCGCGTTAGATTATCGGTTTGTTTATGATGTCAAAATTCGTAATCCATAAAATATGAATTTGGCTCTCACATTTCTGGATTCTCCTTCTATTTCCTCTTGAATGTTTGTAACTACCCA